AGAAAACGAGGGTCAGCTGGATTGATCACAACTTGGTATTTGCCTCATTTGAATACAGTTTAAACAGCTGACTGTTGTGATTGGCTGAGACTCAGCTGTTTGTTGCAAAGACAAATCTCCAGATGTCCACATTCTTGGTTAAGTTGCAGTTCGCTATGTAAGTAATAACTCGATTTGCAGAGGCATTCTCAGGCCAGACTTAGTTTGACCTAATATGTCCTAAAGATGATAAAACATGAGAAAGGGCTGAAAGTGATTCAGAGATGAGGGAAAATAATTTTTGCTATATTTTAAAAGCAGTAATATTAGCAAGACCTTTGTAAATAAACAACTGAAAAGCCAAGTATCAAAAAAGAAAAAAAATATAAAGGTGTAGTCAAAGCCTGGTGTGGTATTGAATACTATAATTCCAGCTTTGAGAAGTGGAGGCAGGAGATGAGGAGTTCAGGGCCAGCCTGGGCTACATAAGACCCTGTCTCAAAAAAAAAAAATAGACAAAGCAAGCTGGAGAGATGGCTCAGCAGTTAAGTCCACTGGCTGCTCTTGCAGAGGACCAAGGTTCACTTCCCAGCACCCACATGGCAGCTAACAACCCTCTGTAACTCCAGTTTCAGGGTCTCTGATGCCTTCTTCTCACCTCCCTGGCCCATGTTACACTTACATGCAGCCAAAACATTCATACACATAAAGTTAAATAATTTTTCAGTTTATTTTAATTGTAAAAACCATTTTTAAAGCAAGACAACAAAAATGCTAAGCAAAATAAATTATAAAGGGTAACTAAGGAGAGTAATTTTGAGAAGCTGCAGCTAAGAAATTACTTATAAATTCTATTACAAAGATACATAGACTTTTTAGTCTCTGTGTCCCCTGATTCCTAAATTAGATGGGATTTTCTTAAGGTCAAGGACTGTCTTTTATATTTTTATATTCTTTCATAGCAACCAGTGTCTCACTCTGCATGAGCAAGAATTTGGTGACTCATACTAGACTCAAAAACATTTCAACCTTACATGTATGTGTTTATAAAGACTAAGGCAGCAGAGGATACAACAAGTCACCTGCTTGTTAAGGGAAATCCAAGAAAACACTTAGCCAAGCACTAGTAGTCATGAGCTACTCGGTCGGCCCAAGGCTAGACTCTCTGCTACTCCACTGCTAGTCACAGTTGCAGATACTTACCAAAACTCTCCAAAATAGGCAAAGATGTGGTGTGTGGGCATGGCTTCATTTTGGTGTGATTAGAAGTGAGCCCTGAGCACCAGTTTCTGCTGGCTTAGCATCCTGAAGGGATGTGGGTGCTAACAAGGAACGTGCACACCAGTGTGCTTCATACCAGCACCATGACTGATTTATGTTCAACCTGGGCTAATTACCTGACCCCTTTGAGCCTTGGGGTCCTTGATTATAAGACTTACATTCCTTTTTGTCTGACAATACTCAGGACTTTCATTAGGATCAAATGAAATTCCTGAAAGTATTTTTTTTTTCTTATGCTTTGTACTCGACTTCCCTTCAATGTCATACCAATGTCTCTGTGCCTTCAGCCCAGATTTCCTTAAGGTAATTAGTTGAGTTCTGCAAAAGGCCATTGAATCCTATTGTCTTTGAAGGTCAAAGGAGATTCTTTACTGTCAAAAACCCTCAGGGGCTTTAGAAAATCTGTTCAGATATCTGGGAAGGCCCATCCACTTCTAGGTTGGCACTAAAGGGATACATTCTGTGTTGGCAGAGCACCTTTTATTCAGATGTTTTCCTTAGAGCAAGAGCAACACAGTCAGTACTGGAAAAGTGACCCCAGAAGCAATATCATTTGGTATGGTGTGGGGAGGGACTATATATAGTTTCCAAACAAAACATAAATAAGAAAGGGAGACTGATCTGTTATTTGACCTGGGCAAGTTACGTGACTCTTTTGAGCCTTGAGATCCTTGATAAGATAGGATGTTATTTCTCTAATAATGCTCAGGACTTTCATAAAGATCAAAAGAAATTACTGAGAGTACTTTTTTTATTTCAGTGCGGGGGATTGAACCCAGGACCTCCTGCACCTAAGCAACCACTCTACCACTGAGCTGCACTTCAGCCCCGAGAGGAAAGTGTGCTAGTATCACAGTAATTCATGGTGTTCTTTTAATTGTGTGGTAGGTACTTGCATTCCTTGAGCCTCTCACTTCTAATGGCACTTCAGATGTAGGATTCTGCCACACTCTTTCCCTTAGAGTTTTGCTTTTTAATTAATTCTCCTTGCCTGTATTCACTGTTCTTACTTTTTCTTACGAGATGTGCTTGAATCATGCTCACCTTAGTATGAAGTCCCCTAGTGGTATTGTCCCATTGGCTGATTTCCTTGAGCACAGCTGTCATTTGGCCCATGAACTGTCATTTGGCTCTGGTCCCTTGGCTCTTAGTACCTCCTTTCTTATTTATGTTTTGAGTGCAAGGCCTACCTCTGTAGCTAGAGTTTCTTTGAAGGCATCAGGCACTTCGAGTTACAATTCTCTGCATCTTTAGCTCAAGCAATACAGCTTTGGTAACTGACTTTTGGGGGATTGTACTGGATTAGCTTTCCCCCCAAATATATGTCTACTTTGGCCTTGTGAATGTGTGCTCATTTGGAAATAGAACTTTGTAGATATAATGCAGTTAAGATGAGATCATATTGGATAGGGTGTGCTCCAAATCCAACTCCTGACAATCTTAAAACGGAGAGGAATCTGGAAGAAGAAACACAGGGAAGAAGGCCATGTAACTATGCAGGCAGAACTGGAATGAATTTAAAGCCAAGGACTGGCAAGGACTGTGGCCACCAGGAGGAGGCAGGGGCTTCTCTAGAGACTTTAGAGTCAGTTCTGTCTAGGAACACCTCTGGCATGTTAAGTTGCCTAGTTTGCAGGAGTGCTGCATACAAAAGGTACACTTAGAATGAGTGAGGCTCTTCTGAGGTCACCATCCAGCTTTGGGCAATCCACATTCCAAAGACCTGGGGGAGCAGCTTGGAATAAGTTTTTAAGAGAACAAGGAGAGTCACTGAAGGCAGTGGGTGGAGAGGAGATAGAAAACACTGGGGTACTCTGAGCAGAAAACAATCCCAAACAAGGCTTACAAACTTTAGGTTGAAGATGTTTTCAAAGGTCCCATCACAGGACAGTCAACAACCTGAAAGTTGTCCTCTGACCTCTGCCCCCCCTCAAATAAATGTTAAAAAAAATAAAAGATGACTTGCTTTAGGACAAAATAGTTGGTTAAAGAGTTGGAGATAGAGGAGCTAGGGAGTAAGTGGCTATCCATTTATGATATGATATATTCAAAATAATAAAACAGACTATTGTGTGAGGGAAAGGGTATGTGTTCCCTAGCATATCTTGCTTCAGATAACTGGAGACTCCCGTGGTCCAAGCTGAGGCTGAGGATAGATAGCTGGTGGTTCCTTTGAATACTAGTCCTGGAGGCCTGGCTTTCTCTGGTTTAAGAGCACACACACAACAGAACTAGAGTCTGTGTTTTGCCTCTGGCAGTTATTTGACTCCCTCTCTTCATTTGTAGAATCAGAATAAAAATAGCCCTCCACTCCTAAGGTGGTGGGGATCTATTTAATCTGCATTGATGCTTAGAACAGTGCACAGGGTGTATGATTAGAAGCTGAACTTTCCTCCATCTCATGTGTAGATGAATTATGGAGCTAATTTAATGGCTTCTCCCGAAAGTAGAGGTCCCTCTGGGAAGGAGGAGATACAGGCAAAGCTGGCCTGTGTGCCTCACAACAAGTCTGTAAATGGACATAAAAACCTTTGCATACTGAGCACACGAAGCTTTTTAAAGTCAAGGTAGGTAGGCTCAGAGTGTCTCTGCTGATATGGGCAGACTCCAGGTGCAGGAAGTAAAGGGTGTGGCCCACTGGAGGCTCAATCTTGGAACTGACTAGACCCTGGATTCTAGGTCCTGACCTACTCCTCAAAAACAGGCCATACTTGAGACCTTCAGTCAGTATCAAGAGATGGTTAAAGAATAAGCCAATTTAGACTGGCTTGCTTGGTGCCACTCCCTGCCCTGTAGGGCAGGCCCTGGGACCACCACACCTCCGCAACCCCTGGCACAAGACCCCTTGGAGATGGGAAACAACCATTGCTAGTGCCTGCTTTACAAATTAAGCATGTTAACAAAAATCCCCTGGGAAGGACCTCTGAATCCCATGTCGCCCAGTTGGTTAAATAGGCGTGTACCTTCTATCCTGCAGTTACTCTGTGTACCACAGTCCATCGGGATACCGCATCCGCAGGGCTCACCACCCTCTCCCCACTTAAGGGCGAAGCTTCCTTGGCATGGAGGCACTGACTGAAAAACAACTTTGTACCCTAATGATCGGGCAAGAGACTCCACCTTCCCACCTCGCAGAGAACACTCTGCCAGGCAGCCAGGACACTGCTGGCTTGCTGGTGAGAGTCCGCCAGCATCCTGCCGCCGCTGGCGATTCCGAAAGACCCGAGCTCCGCCAAGCCTAGAAAGAGTCGCAGATGTGAGTTGCTTTGTCGCCGCTCTCCCAGCGACTTTGGGGAAGTCCTTGTTTCGCCGCCTCGGATGTCCTGCGTGTTTCATGCGGGCAGGGCACCGAACCTGGATGACGCCGGGACAGCTGCAGAGAAGCGGGTGGCCGGGCGGGAGAGCGGCGACCTCCCGGCGTGAGCGCCGCGGAACTTCAGTCCCAGGCGGTGCGGCACGGGGCACCGGGCACCAGGGTCCGCTCTGCAGGGCTGGGCGGGCCGGGGGATCCCCTCTGTGGAGCGCGGCGCCGGGCGGGGGAACCCCGCTGCGGGAGCGCAGGGTGGCGCTCCTCCTCCCTCCAGCGTCACGGGGCCTCGGCGCGGTCCCACCCCTAGCGGAGGAGCGCAGCCCTGGGCCGCACGCGGAGGGCGGGTGGGAGCGCCCGGTTCCTGGGCAGCGGCGGGGACCTTGAAGTGGGACTCCCCGCGCCCTCCGTAAGTCGACCTGGCCATGCAGGCAAGCAGGGGCGCATCTCCGCCGCGGGGCGTCCGCGACTTTCACTTTCCCTCGGTGAACTTGGGTGCCGCGTCCCTGGCGCGGATGGGCAGGCGCTGTCCGGACTGACCGGTCCCGGCTCCGCGCCCCAAGCCAGCGGGACCCCAAGGGTGAGAGTCCCCCGCCCGGTGCGCGAGCGCCCGCAGATGCCGCCACTTTGCAGCCCGAGGCCGGCGTGGGAGCGCTGGGGCCCTCTGAGGGTCAGCTGCGAGGACCCTCTGCTGGGACCCGCGTCTGCGTATTTTCAGGTCAAGTTTCCGCTCGATCGAGCGGAGAATCCTACCGCGGGAGAAGTGACGGCGCCTCGCCAGCGGGCTGGGAACCTCGGGGATCCCCCCCAGATGGAAGGGACCCCAGGACCCTTTACCGAGCTGGGCAGAGGGCGCGAGGGCGGGAATTGGTGTGCAGATGTCACCTCCAAGCTTTCCAGAAAGGGGATAGCCTGAAGATAATGGGTGCTGTCCCTGTGCTGGGGAGGGGTGATGCCAGTCCTAGGGGTCATACCCCACTCCTTTATCTTTAAAATTGAAGAGCAAGAAAGATTTAGGAAGTTGGGAATATTATTAAAGCCTCATGGTTTGAGAGACATAGAAATCACTTTTTTGATCTTGCATGTATAAAACATGTCGGTATTATTAAACCACCTATCAGCCTAAGACATTCTAGGAGCCAAATAATCCCTGTTTTGACAACTTTTTGATAGTGCCTTGAGGAAGTCTTTAAAAAGTGAGTTATTGCTGAGAGCCGTCTCTATGTAGCACTAAGTACTCAGTTCGGAGAAATGGCTGATTCAGATGTTGCTGAATTATCTTTTACTAGTATTAGGAGAGAAACAGCCAACGAATGGGGTGTGTGGCACTGGATTTTCCCTCGAGTTGGGGGCAAGGGAGGGGATGCACACTCTTTTTTTTTCTTTGCGGGTTTGTGGTTTTTTTGTTTTGTTTTGTTTTTGGTTTGTTTTGTTGTTGAGATAGGGTCTCACAGTGTAGCCCTGAATGGCCTGGAACTCGCAGTGAGTTCTGCCTCTGCAGCTCCAGTGCTGGGATTAAAATGTGTGTCCCTATGCACCAGCCTTTGCACTCCTGTGGGGCAAGGTTTCTAGTCATTTATTAAATGCTCATTTTCACAGAGGTGAGCACTGGGTAGGTGGGGTAAGTAGCACCACAGTAAGTACCTTCAACCTGAACAAGCTGTAAATACTTTCCAAATGATCTTCTGGCAGAAGGGGCTGGAGAGGCTGTATGTGACCCCGCTGTTTCTGCCCTGCCCTGCCCTGAAGCAACACTGGTATTTGGGAGCATGACCTGGTTACCCAGAGCTTGTCATTAACAGGCATACTGCAAGTAAAGCTGAGTCAGCTTGAAAGATTTTTCTTAGGCCGCCAGTCAGGTACACGGACACAAGACAATAAAATTGAGCAATGTGAGATCAAAGAATCAATTGGAAAAACCAGTGTGTTGCTTGCTCACTGTGAGCCAGGTGGGTACTCTGGAGCACAGATGGGCTAAAGCCCACCCTTCTGGGGTGCAGGCAGGGCCTTGCTGAGGGGATGGGAGGTAGGTCTAAGGATAGGTCTAAGAATTGCATAAACTGAGGGATTTAGGTGATAAAGGGGGCATGTTTCAACCTCGGGGAACAGTGTGTCCTAAAAACAGAGAACAGCAGTGTTCACTGCAAGGGGAGGCCCAGGGTAGCCTGCCATACAGTGGAGAAGAACACCAGGCAAAGCCAGTAGAGACCAGGGTGGGATAATGGAAGGTGTGGCCAGGGACATTGTGTGGATGGATCTTCCGGACAGTTTCATACCCCAAAGTATCCTAATGAGCTGTGAATTAAAAATGAAACAAACCAGGTACAGGTGCATCTGTTCATAGGTGCACCTCCAGCTACTTGGGAGGTTAAGGTAGGAGAACTACCTGAGCTCAAGTGTTCCAGACTAGCCAAACAAACAAACACTCCAACTGGTACATGGGAAAGGGATTTAAGGAGGGTTGGGTCCAAGGGTTCAGATGACAGAGGTGATAGCAGTGATGACTTGGTGGGTGGACTTCATTCTGGCTCAACATGCTGTGGAGACTGTTTTGTGGAGGATGTGAGTGTAGAAAGACTTCTTCCAAGTTTGGATGCTGCTATTCACAGAAACAGAATATTGAGGAGCAAGTTCTAGGAAGAAAGACAAACTTGGTTTTGCTGACTCTGAGCAGCTTTTGAGGCTCCCAAGTAAAAGTGTAAGCCATGTGATCAAAGGAGCAGACTCTGGATGCCAGGTGTGGTGGCTGCTCCCAGTGTGAGAGGGAAGCCCAAGGAACATCTTTTCAAAGTTACTTAAATATGAATGACATGGAGCCAGTTAGAAAAACTTGACATACTGGACACTGGGAATTGCCCTCCCTTAGAGTATCAGCTTAAAAAAGAGTTTGATGGTGATGCATATAAACAGTCAACCTCTTACAGAAATAATATTTTGAAGTATGTATGACTACAATTTGAGTTTTTACTTTGTAAATCACACAAATTTAATGATGATGGGAATCACAGAGGGTAATCACATACCAAAGCTGCAGTGTGGTAAGGGGCAAGGCCCTGGAGCGAGGCTCTAACTTCCTGCTTCTTGGCTCTGTCACTTGCCATCTAGTACAAGTTCCCTGGCCTTTGTGTCTCTGTTTCTAGGTCTGTGAAATGGCCCTACACATAAGGGGCTGTGTGTGCTTCCTTATGGACTGATTGATTGCAAGGATTTCATGCATTCATCAAATATGTACAGGTTTTATTTGCTTTTTGGTGTGTGTGTGTGTGTGTGTGTGTGTGTGTGTGTGTGTGTGTGTGTTACCTAGCATATAGCAAGCACTCAGTAAGCCCTGTGCTGCTAATTTCAGTATAGATGTCATATAATTTCTAAATACAGAATCTGAGACCTGAAGAATTTTAAGAGGGTCAAGGCTGTAGACTAAGGAGTAGCAAGTTAAGGTTGGGATCCCATTTGCCTGACTCTCAGGCAGGAGCATGTCATCAAGTGTCATGTGCTCAGTGTGCTCAAAGACCAGCTGTAATAAAGCAATCCAGTGCTGGTTCATGGTGGCTCGTGTCTGTAATCACAGCATTCAGGAGGCTGAGGCAGGAGGAGTACCCCCAAGTTTGTGGCCAACGTGGGCTACATACTTACATAGTTCCAGAGCAGTCTAGGATACTACAGAAAATAAAAAACAAAGAATGCACTCCAGTGCTTGCCAGTGTGGTGAGGAAAAGCAGCTAACATCACAGGGGCTTATAGACTTGGCCCAAGCAATTTAGAGAATTTGGTATTCATTTGCATTGTTTTGCATGTCATTTGATATGCATTCCCATACGCTGGTAATTTTCCTAGCAAGGTCTAAAGGCTGAAACTTCAAGTATAAGAGAAAATAAAATTAATCAGGATTTGAATGCAGTTGTTCTGTCCTAATTGGCTCTTGGGAATGGTAGGCTCAGTGTAGGGCTGGGAGAAAGGGTAAGAGCTATATTTACTATTTTAGAAGACAGGGGAAGGCAGACATTATTTAATAAAAGCAGGATACTTCTTAATACCTTATGAAACTTGTTCTGGGGAACACAGTAGAAAAATACAGGAAAAGTAGAAGACGACCGGGGGAAACTGGATTCTATAAAACACCTGAAAATGCCGCAGAAGCAGGCCTACTTTCAGAAGCTGTGCTAACAAGAAATGCTAAGGGTGGTCAGAAAGGCAAGGCTGGATTTCTACTAAGTATGACATTTTAGAGCAAACATAATCTTAAACACAAATGCATGAAACTTTAAAACCAGTAAGTTCTCCCTAAGAGTTTCTGGGAGATAAGCTATTATGCCTTAGTAAAATCTTAGAAATAAAGAGTACACGAAGTTACCAGAAAAAAGTGATGGGGAGATATGGGAGGAGTTGGAGGGGAGGGAGTGGGCATGGATTTGATCAAAACACTTTATATGCATGTATGAACTTCTTAATAAATTTTTTTTAAATCTTAGAAATATAGGACCATTTGATGCAATCCCAGCATGTAGGAGTGGGAGACAGACGTGATCACAAGTTCAAGGTCATCCTTTGCTATCTAGCTAGTTCAAGACCAGTCTGGGTTACATGAAATTCTATATAAATAAGTTAATTAATTGATTAAGTCAAAGAAAGAAACTAATTTTGTTAGAGCAGTGTTCTGGGAGTGTGATCCATGGGCCAACTGCCTCACTGGCATCAGGGAACTTTGAAGTGCAGACTCTGAGACAGCATATGGGAAAAGTGAAAACTTGTGGAGACGGACCCAGCTACCTGTGTTCATCAGAGATTCTATAGAAACCTGGAGCAGATTTGTTCCTCCTGATTTGTTTACTTATTCACCCCTCATCTTCTGACTTCCTCCTGTCTGGCTTCTCCCTATCTTGCTTCCTGTCCCTCCCTTACTATCCTTGGGGACGCTTAAACCAAGACACAAACCCGTTCCTTTTTCCTCGGGTTGGTTGCTCAGTTCAGGGCAGAGCATGGTGGGCCCTGCTGGGCCCCTTCCCGGTGGCTCTGTCGGCCTTATAGAGGAAGCTTTCTCCTATGGCTCTGGATTTTGGCCTTGTGCGGCCCCATGGTTCTCACTATGTCCAGGGCTGCAGTGCCTTTGTTTTGCACCTTTTTCTCTTTCCTCTTCTGCAACCTCATTCTGAACAGTGACTTGTGCCAAATGCAGTCAGCCAAAACACAGAACCATTCTCCAAAGATGCTCCTGCAGCTCCAGTTGGTCAATGGCTGAAGTGTGCCGATGTTTGGGCCCAAGCGTTTTCTCTGCATTTATCTCTGTTGAATTTCCTCTCACTGGATTCAAGTGTGACAAATCTGTTTGGGTTCTGTTTCTGTCAACTAACCTGTAAACCAAGCCTCACTTTTGTGTCCTCTGCCAGTTGGGCCACTGAGGTCCAGGCCAAGGAATTAATGACCTGAGAGTATCTTTTGTTAGTGGCCTTCCTCACAGCTAATGAAGCATAAAACTGGGTCTTCTTTTGCAGTCCTCTGGGGCCAGCATGGGATGATGGCCGTTGCCAGTCCTGGGAGCATTTGCCTTTGAGTCTGCTATTTAAAAGTCCTCACGTGGTTTCT